ACAGGGAGCTCTGGCTACATCAGTCTCTGTGGAGAGGGCAGAGGGCCAGCCAGGAACCAGGGAAAGTCACAGCTGAGGTATCAGACCTGGGGGCTAGTGCTGAGAATGCAGGGCAGGCTTTTGATTAAACAAACAAACAAACAAAAAAGTAAAACTAATAGAAAGCCTGGTGTGACAGTAAATTATCCAGTCTGACACAAACAGCAGCTTCTCAGGGAAATGCTTTAAATCGCCAGACTAAATATAACTGCTCCCAGCCTCCGCCTCTGCACATCTCCAGGGCCCTGCTGCGTCTCTGGCCGCCCTCGGCATCAGAGGCTGCAGGACTTCGGGAGCCCCTCCCTGCCCCCTGCGCAGGCTCTCCCCACCCCAGGGACCCCTTGCCCTCTCACTCCTGTGGCCTTTCTCCACCTGGGGCTTTCCCACTTGCAGAAGATGCTGATAATTTATTTAAAGCAGCGATTTGCTCTTGAGGGTGGTCATTGCCACCTCTGCCATCTCTCTGTGGACGCTTCCCAGCGTCTCCTGTGATGTGGAGATGCTCCCAATATCACCTTTTTGAGGGTTGCTCACGACTCGGGGTCACAAGGGCTGTGCAAACAGCAGAAAGACCTTTTCTTCCTCAGTCTTTCCAAGTAATAACAGAGGACAGCTTTGGGATGGAGAAGCCAGGATTTGGGAGGGGAGGAGACAGAGATGGAGGTGAGGAGGAGGAGAAGAAGGAACTGGTGAGCTCCCACCTCTGGGAAAGCTCAGCTCCAGAAAAGCAAGGGCTTCCTTTGAAATATTTCCCCAGAATTAATTGCCTCCCCTTCATCGCAGCGAGCTGCTAGAGCAGCACATGTTCTCACTGCTGGGTCGGGTCCCCCCTGTGGGGCCCGCTGCCTTTGCCAACTCCTGGCTCAGTTTGCAGTTGACGAAATGAAAAAGATGCCCTTCCTTCAATTAATTCAGATATCTTCTTCCTTTCCCCTGGAGGCACAATAGCAGCTCTAACATTATAAATGATTTAGGAGTGGAGCCAGATGAAGACAAAGCTGATGGATGACAATTCTCTGTTTGGGGGATGTTTTACTGCTGGAGATTTTTGGAAACAAATATATTTATCCTCATTCAAAAAGGAAACCCCCCCCCCCCCGCTGAATGACTCACCCCATGAGTCAGGGCACAGCGGCAGCGTGGCTGGAGAGACCCCGCAGTGGCACGGGGGGATGGCAGCCTGGGTCAGGCAGAGGGGCCGCAGCACACAGCTCCTCAAGTACTCTCTGCCTTTAAGTGGTTAAAATAATTTTTGCCCATTTTGCCTCTAGGATGAAACCTCCCAAGCCTCCAGTTTGGCTACTGAAGCAACAGGCCCCTCTTCATTGGGAACAGCACCCAGGAAGCACATCGTGCCCTGGCTTTGGGAAAAATCCCCCTAAACTGGAGGGAGGGCAGTTCTTTGGGGAGTGGTCCCGGACATCCCTGGGGACAGGGAGGAGGATGGAGACACACACACACACACCCCTGCACCCTCAGCACCACAAGCAGGTGCTGCTGGAGGGTAGCTCTGGTCAAAATCAAAACCAGTGGAAAATGGGTTGGCATCACCCACTTACTACATCAGATATATTTATAGCAAGAGAGCATCACCATTGCAAGAATATGGGCTGATCCTGAAATCATGGTAAAGATCCCAGACCGGATTTACCAATCTCTGGCAGAATAAAAAAGACCTCATTTAACTGAAGGAACGCTTTTTTTCAGAGAGCATCCCATACCATTAAAGCTTCCCTGTGAAAAAAAACCACAGTGTCCAGCCCGCACGAGCAACCCGGTGAGTGGCAATCTATTTTAAATCTAAAAGAAGCAATTTCAGGTGAGAAATGAAATGCTACTGTTAGAAGCAGTTTGAAAAAAAAAAACCAAAAAAACCAAACCCCAACCCTCCCAGCACAAGTGAAGCTCCCCGACCCCAGCACACCTGGAGCACGATCTCCGCGACCGGCTACAGACGGCAGGAGCTACAGCAGCACCCACGCTGGCTGGCTGGCTCTTCAATTTAGCGTGTCCCAAAATAGCTCTAGATGGCGATTTGTATTAAGTTGTAGAATTGAAAGCTACTTGTGTAAGAGGATTGCTTTCGGATACGTGTGTTGAAAGATTTGCTTTAAGCACAAGGCAATTCAAGTGTAATTGCAGAAGCGAATCCTGCCCAAATTGCTCTCAGAGCAGCTTCCAGATGTCAGATGGACCCCAGGAGGGACAAGCAGGCAGGATGTGGCCCTAGTTACCATCCTGCCTGGTATTCAGGAGCTGTGTTTTCCCTCCAGCCACCAAGCACAGAAAATCACGATTTTTCTAAGATATCTCAGCTGCCAAGCCCCATGGGGATGTTGCGGTGTTGGCCTCACCCACTTCATCCCTCTCCCCTGTCCTCTCCTCTAAGCTCCAGCAGTGGTGGCCCCACTGGCCCCATCTCTAGGGCTGCAAACCAGCCACTAGCACCCGCTCAGGACAGATTTGCCCCAGAGCCCTGGAGCACAGTAGGGAGGATCAAGGAAGAAGGATGGAAGGAGCTATGAGGACACAGGGAAGATCAGGGAGGAGGGAACCCAAAGGACCCAGGGAGGATCAGGGAGAAGGAGGGAAGGAGCACGAGGACCCAGGGAGGATCAGGGAGAAGGAGGGAACCCAAGGACCCAGGAGGATCAGGGAGGAGGGAGGGAATATGAGGACACAGGGAGGATCAGGGAGAAGGATGGAAGGAGCGGGAGGATGCAGGGAGAAGCCTCTTACAGCGCCAACAAGTTATTTCAGCTGAGCCAAATGGCCCGTGGAGAAGCACTCTGTAACGGGGACAGCAGCAATTTGTGTGTCCCAAGGGGGGGCTGGGAGAAGAAATAGTGCTAATGCCACAGCCCAGAGAAAACACACAGAGCTTTCTTTAGGGCTCCCCTAGGATTTCTAAGGGAAGGCACTGTCAGGGCTTTATGGAGCGTTTCACATGAAGCGCTAATCACCGCAGCAGCTGTTGAGGGCAGCAGCCCCAGGGCAGCACTGCCTGCTACCAGGGCTCACCGTGGACAAGGAAAGGGATTGGGGTGATTTATAGCCACTTCAGTTGCCAGGGAGCTGGGGGAAGGATGGAGGTGTCTGGCTCAGAAAGGAGGAATAGGTGCAGAAGAGCTGCCAGCCATTGAGGGGAATACAGTGGGTTATGGTGGACATCAAACATGCCAGTTTAAAACTCCAGCCATGCCCACACACAACTGATGCTCCAGGGTTAACAGGGGTCCCACAAAAAGCCCATGTCTTGCCCAAGCTGCCACTGTCCTCAGTTAACCTGACCCCCAGGAGGCTGGGAATGAAGAGGCAGTGAAATACTTGTGGATCTTCATTTCTTAACGCATGAAGAACTTCTCTTCCCTTGGGCTTGGCTACAGGAGAGTCCCCCGTTCTCTGTCTTTCCAGGAGGTCACATAGAGAAGCAAGGATGACTGTAATGCCACAGCTGAGCAGACAACAGGGAAGACCACAGCCTGAACATGCACATCTGGGGGCTTGGGAGATGCCCTGGGACAACGGCTGGTGCCAGGTCTTGCAGGAGTCTCACAGAGCAGAGCTCGTAGCTGGAGAAGTCTCTGCACCTACTAAATATCTGCATGCAGGTAGCTACGTCTCACCCCTGATATTTTTACTCAAACAGCATTAGTTTTGCATAGTTTTGGCCCAGAATGCAAGTTTTTAACTCAAACATGGTCCAACACTGGGAATTTCTGAGAAATCACCTTTTCCACACTGCATTCCTCCCACCACAAACTGGAGTCAGAGAACAAGTCTCACTAGTGAACGTATTTTTTTTCCTGTTAACAGATTCAAATCTTTCAGCACAGAGCACCTGGGCTTTCCTGTGCTGTTAACCTTCACCTCAAAGCCCAGATGGGAGTTAAATTGTGTCAGACACAATCAAGAGAACAGAGGAACAACTCAGCAGAGGACGGGATTTCCCCTGGTGAAGCTGTGGTGGGAACACTACAAATCCTTCACCGAGGGAAAAGGAGGGCACCCTTTCTCTAGCCAGGTCTTTCAGGAAACCAAGTCCCTAAGTCTAACCTCTCATTTTTTGAAAATATGGTCATGGAAGGAAGAAAAAAGCAATTGTGGAGACCCTGCTTGAAGACAGGTGCCCACTGCTGAACCAAACACACAAAGATCCTCACCCAGTTTTCAATGCCCTTAATGAACCCATGTCTTTCCTCCACCTTTCACTGAACAGCAAAAGGTATCACTAAGAACATTAAAAAAAACATTTTCTGGTGGAAGAAGGCAACAAAGAGGAGCCCTCTCAGATGAGCTGGGTGCTCTCCAGCTCTCATATGAATGGGGCTGTAAAGGATGAAGCACACGGAGACTTCTTAGCTAGGAAGCAGCACTAGCAGTCCAGATTGGATCTCGCGATGACCACAGCCGGGCTCACCACAGCTGCAGCTTTCAAGATGGTCTGTGACACACGAGGGCCTGAACACAGTGTCCCACCAGCCTACCTGGGACCCTGGGCACCCCGAGCTCAGCCTCCAGCCAGATGCAATCGCAGAGCACAGACACCTCGGGGGTGCGAGTCCCACAGCTGGGCTTTGGTGATGCAATGCACACAGAGCCGTGACGTTTCTGTGCTAGGTTTCTGTTGCAGGAAGATGGCCAGATGGTTTGAAAATGTCCTTTCTCTCCCCAGGGCTTGCTGGTGGCAGCTGCGTCCCTGCCCTGAGGAAGCAGGGTAACTTCTCACCACCTCCAACCTCCATTCAGCGTTTTGTGACTGACCTGTTATAGAACATCCTCCCACCAGCCAAGCCCTCCCTGTCATCCACAGACACACAGTTGCTCTCCCTTCCACTCCACACGCTATTAAGAAAAAAGAAGATACTCTGCAATGTTTGTGCCTTTGATCGCCTTAAAATCCCTTTAGCATCCCCTCTTACAAAGTCTCGTACAGCAGTGACACACCAAAGGTGCTCTAGGAAAAATTACTTTATTTTCTTTCTTCTTAAAAATACTTTTTACAGTTTTAAGAAATTATGTTTTTTTAAAAAAGAAATAAAATCACAATGTCAGGAAAGCTCACCATCTACAGCACCATGGGCACTGGGAATCTCAGGCTTATGGACCTCACTGTTAAGGTGGAAGCGCTGTGAACGCCTCTGATCTGCGCTCCTGGAGTTCAACAGGAAAACAAAAACGCTCGAGCATGAGTGTGTTTTCTTCCCCTGCACTGGCTGACACCTCTGGGTCTACAGTAAAGCTGTTTGTGCAGCTGGTTCAAGCCAAAGGGCTTTAGCCGGAGCAGGTCAGGCCACCACGCAGCAGATGGAGAAGCCCTGTTGTCCTCCCCGCTCCCGCACCGAGTCCATTCACCCCAAGGGCCGCAGGGAGGGAGGCGGCCCCGGGGGCTGCCCGAGGGTGGAAGCCATCGGCAGGGGTGTGGGAGGGTTGTAGCCCAGTTCAGCCATCTGGCAAGTGAAGGCACAGCCAGCCACGGGGGTTTGCCGCGGGCGTTCGCACACTGACCCTCTGCAACTCCTCGGGGACTGCAACCAACACGGATCTTGCATAAACAGACAGGGAAAGGTCTTCACACATGAAAGTCGGGATTTTCCCAGCAAAAACCGACCCACCCCCTCTCGTTTAAATGCACCTTCCCAGCCAGGCTCAGCACCGTCCAGCAGAGTGCCAGGCACAGCCCAGGGTCTCCGAGAGCAACACCAGGGACGTGTCACTGGACCTCGTGCCCAGACGTCACCTCTCCAAACTACAAGAGTTGGTTTCTTGACACAAGAGACTGCAGCCGGACTCAGTTTTCATTTAGATCAGATGACCCCCACCCAAAGCGGCAGCAGCACTGCTGACTTGCCCGGGTGGAGCTCAGAGGCCGCCTGCTGCTGGCCAGGCCTGCTGGCTCCCACAGCACGTCCTCCAGGTCAGCAGGGGTGAACTGAAGCCCCGTTGTTTGGGGCTGCCGGGGAGTGGGATAAAACTACTCTGAAAATATTCATGGCCAAACCCATGAAATTGGAAGACAGCTGGGGAGATCAGAAGTTGCAGATGATATTAATAGGGGTGCTGTTACTTATACAGTTCCCAAGCTTCAGCTTCTTGGGGATGAGACTGGGTCTTTACAGGAACTGGCACCAGTGTTTAAAATACATAAATCTTTGTTACTGTCTGTACAATAATACTTCCAGTGGGGCTCAGGCTTTTACATACAGATCTGTCTGCCATCCCACCTGCACAGATCCAACCAGCTTGTGGTGTTGAAATCCCCTTGGCACTTATCCTTACAGACACGGAACGTTTTGCTGCTGAGTTGGGTGCCAGCACTCGCTGGGCTCTCCTCGCAGCAGGGCACAGAAGTCAAATAAACGCTCCTCCTCCACAATCAACTCCAAACACTGTGGAGGCCACAGCCACTGCCTCCCCTCATCACACTGCCAGTGACGATAAAGTGCTGGCATGCACCACTTGTGATTTATCTTGAGATAAAGAGCATTATAAATATTTTCATTCAAGAAGCCCTAAAACTTTAAATAAAGGCTTTACCCTCCTCCTTAATATCAAACGTCAGAAAAAAAATAAGTAAATAGATTCAAAATTGGTGTTAGCCTAGAAACAGAGACCAAAACTCAGCAGCCAGCCAGGCAGAGTCTGGCCAGCCCCAACCTAACCTCAGCACCCAGAGACGTCTCTCGCTTTGTTCTTCCGCTGGTATCTCACGTCCAAGGGATCGAATCCCCTTTCTCTGGACCCAAACAGAGCCCAGCGAGGAGTTCTGGCTGTGTAATCAGCTGCTGTGAAAGTCTTGGACCCGCCGCTCCTCTCATGCTCTTGCACCAGCTCCTGGAAGCGCTCGTAGTTGATCCAGGTGCACCACTCACCATTGATCTTGAACTGGAAGGAGAAGAAACGTGTTACTGAGCGAGGGAGCAATGAGGAATACCAAATACCACACTTACGCTAAGACAAGCTGGGTGGTATTAAACTGTTACTCAACCATAGTTCGTTTTAATTTTCCAGCCACTTTAAGGTCCAGAGTAAAGCCATCCAGAAGCTAACATAGATAACTGCTTTAATATAAAAAAAGAAATTCAGGTGGACAAATAACCAGAACTTACTGTTTCTGAGCTACATTTCACCCATGGGGTTTGACAACACACACTGACACAGGATGGCTGTTTTTCTTATGGCTTTAGTCATTTAGTGCTGTCTACCAGCGGATAATCTCTGTGAGGGTTTGACTGTTGGGTGCTTTGCTGAAGCCTTCAAAGCACGGAATCCTACCACCACTTCGGCCCCACTGTGCCAGGAGGAACGCTTCCAGAGTGCATCCCAAAGCCTTCCTGGGCGTGTCGGCACTTTCAGGTGTCCCTTATACCTCAAAGACCAGGGTTTGGGGAACTGGAAGAGCCCTTGAAGAAACATGTAAATTTGAGAGGAATGTCCAGGTACCCCTTGATGAAGGGACCTTTCTAAGGTCAACCAAAGCCCCTGTTCAGAGCGTGTGACACCACCTCCAGGGCAGTCTCTGCCTAGCAAAATGGCACAGGACCAACACCAGAGCCATGTGCTGTGGTGACTGGGATGGATTTGGGTGATTCTTAAAAGGGACAAGAGAGCTGTGTTTGGGAACAGGGGAAGATAAAAAGGTTTAATGACATGAATCCTCTTCTCCATGTGAGAATTTTAAGAATTGCTTATTTTGACAAGATGAAGCTACATTTGTCTAGCAGACCTGCTCTGCTAATTTAGCAACAGCCTTGACTGAATCCTCAATTAGGATTTATCTGAGCTAAGAGCTTATTATGCACTTCATAAAAAAAAAAAAAAAAAAAAAAAAAAAAAAAAAAAAAAAAAAAACTTGACTCCCTGTTTTTTTCAAAAACCTGATGGCTACGCATTTAAAATAACACTTGACTTTCTGCCCAAGAGCTAAAAGCTTTTTTGGTTGGAAAAACTGCTGATACCTGCAAAATTTTGCAATCAAACATTGCTAATGGTAATCTATTGCTGCCTGTGTAATTCCAGCGAATTCTTGCAGGAGTTGTTCTCCAAACGGAGCAGAGATGTGAGACTGCAGAGTCATAACGTCAGGGAACAAGTCTCGCTGCGAAGTTGCCCAAAGCTCATTCTTCTTATGCTAATGTGGAGGCCGTGTTTCCACCAAGGCAACAAGTCCTTTCCCAAGAGTGCAGCTGCAAGTAAAGCAACAGCAGAGGAGACAACGTGTGGCCTGGGAAGCAGCAGGTCCCAAAGAGGATCCAGGCTCAGGAGATCTGAGCTCCCCTCCAGTGCATGCGGGCGTGCTCAGCTGACGAGTTCACACCATGCGTAAAACTCTGCTCCCCCCAGATTTGATTCACTAACGCTTGGCAAATTCTCACACAAATTAAGGGCAAAAAAATCCCAACCCACAGGATCCAGCAAAGCCTTTAACACACATGGCACATGGGAGAGTTGTTTAGAACACGAGCTGTTGAGCTTATTCCCACAATGGGTCCCTAGCTAGCCTTGAGGCCAGCTAAGAGAAACAGCACATCAAGAACAAAAACACTGCCAAGACTGGAGCTCAGCTGAATAGGTAATTCTGTAAAGCCTGTTTCCTTGAAAATCGACGTGATGCTGTGATGTCAGGACAGGAGGAGCAGGTTGCAATGAGCCGTTAACACTGTGCACCACAACGGCTGGGAAGGGCACCGAAGCCACAAGAAATATTGGTGCCACCCGATCAGATGAAATGAGGGTACAGACTGCAGTCACCACCCCCAACCCAAACACTGGCATAGACTTCTGTCTCTCCAGGATTTTAGAGGTTGTGTGAAAACAGCATGCTACGACCTGCAGGAGATACTGAGAACTATTTCTAGACTCAAACCACTGCTGTGCCAAGCCAGTCAGTCCCTGTGGCAACCTGTACTCACAGCTGGTTTAACTGGCGATGGGTGGGTAAAAAACCACCCCCCTATGAATGGGCCAGCATCAGTGCTGGTGCTTTCATCACCCACAGCAGCTTCAACATCAGTATAACCCTGCCTCTGCCCAGCCGAGTGAGGAAGCGGCTTCATACAGGGATGAGACTCTGACACAAAATTCTAGGACAGAATCAGATGGTTTCTCTCTTTTTAGAAGCAAACTATTCTTTCTCCCCCCTTGGGCTTGGTGAGTGGCTGAAGGGACCTCAGCCCTCTCCTCCCTTCATCACTCGTCCCCCTTAGCATAAAGCACTACGTATGTTTTCCTGAGGATAAAACCACTCACGATGAAGGATAAAACCCTCCAGGCTTGCATAAAACATGTGCGTTGCTCTGCGTCCTGAACTTTAGCTAGGTCACCAAAGTGAGATTTTAAGCTATTTAATTTTGACCCCATCTGAACATGCAGCTCCTGACACAACGGAGCTGTTAAGGCTGGTACAGACTGAAGTGATGATACCATTCCCACCAGAACAACCAACTGAAGGCTGCCTGGGATTCATTACAAAAGCAGATCAAATCATATTAAATAACTTTAGCACTGCAATAGCACAGCTATAAAACAGGAAGAAATGGGACTAAGTGTGTCATAGAAAGCAATTACTTCTGCTGAGGAATAAAAACCAGACAAATACAGGGTGGGGGAGAGCAGCCTCAATTGCTTACAAGTTTTACAGATTGAACAATTTTGTGATTACCCTATAGATAACAAAATATTTAAGGCTCAAAATAGTTTCACAATTCCATATAACAGGCGAGCCAATGCTAAATATTGATGTTATTTTAGATTAATGCAGTCAGGTTTTTTTATTGAATTTTTTACTACCTGGTTAAGTCTTTTAAGGTGATAAATGCAACAACAAAAGACAAACGGCTGAAACACTTCCTTTTTTTTTTTAAGCTAGAATTATAATGAAAAGTAATAAGCCCCTTCAGCTGGCTCTGAAACCAGACTGTGTTGCCTCCTCGAGGGCTTTGCTTGAAAAGTGAGATGACACAGGAGCCAGTTCACACCCTCCCTTGCAGCTCGTGCTCCCAGCAGCCCTGAGCTCTGGTCCCCATGGTCCCGCCACTGTCTGCTCCCTGCAGATGTGGCACTAGTGCAAAGCAATGCAAAACCCACCCGATTTGTGCAGATCCTACAGGCAGGGCAAGGAGCACTGCCCCGAGCAGGTATTAATACTGGGAAAACAAGAGGCAAAGGAAACAATGAGAAACTCATAATGGCCTTCAAGCCCAGAGAAGCAGATCTAGGTGTGACACCGGACCACCACGGGGGACATCTGTCAAGGGGTTACGCACCTCTGCTGGGAATGGCATGGCTGGACCCAGGAGGATCACAGGGCAATGGTGCAAAAGGACAGAGCTACCTGGGGTTGTGCTGTCCATGGACACGGCCAGTCTCTCAAACAGTCTACAGCAAAAGTAATATATATATAGTGCAAAGATAATCAGGAAACAAGACTAGAATGGAGAGCCAAGTTACCAGGGAGCATCAGCAGAGCATAGCTAACACCTCTCTTTTCTCTCAAAAAATTGGATATGAACAGGAAATGTCTTTAAATTATCTTTTGCAGTAGGTTTACAGATGCTCTGACTGCAGAGAGAGAAGCTTCTTGCTACAAAAAATCCATCAACATTCATGAAGAAGAAGAGCCACACTACATATTTCTTTTCTTATCAACAGATTTGCATAAGCAATTTTTTGGGGGTAAAAATGTATGCATATATTGAGGACAATATACTAGTACAATTTACTACATTCCTACAGACATGCATAATTGCTGAGAAATAAACACAAGGTTTATATGAAGGGATAAAATACAGAAGAGAGGTTGAGATGGTGACACATGAAACACTAATACTGAAAAATGGAAGTCAGCCAAAAATCAATTAGTTTGTCCTAACAAGGGTAATGTTATATTTTCTTCAGTGAAAAACACACTGAAATGAGGAGGCTCCTCTTCATCCATTCACTCTGGTCTTTCTCTACAAAAAAAATTAAAGTGTTTTCAGAAAAGGACTAAATAGTGCAGGCTACATAAGAGAATGAAGCAGAGCAGTGGGGCAAAGCCTGCTGTGGCTCCTCGCAGACCTCACCCTCCCAAACGCTGGGGTGGGAGGACAGATGGGGAGAGGACCCATGGGAAAACCTTTCTCTGACAAGCTGTGCTGCGACACAGCATCCCCCAGGAGCAGCAGGAAGACTGGGAAGAGAAAGCAGAACGTTGGGTCTTGCAACAGCTACTCTTTAATGGCTCGAGGACACCAAGATTTAGTAGTCCAGCAAATGGATTCTTCCCCTGGCAGATGCACAGGGTTTAATGGTTATATACAGCAGTTTTATGCATAGTTTTAAAGATCACACAGACACACACACACAAAAAAAAAATCAATCAGTGGTAATCAGAGAAAACAGCACTTGCTTCAGTTGCAGGGAGGCACAGGAACTGGTGTAGCATCATGCAGGAAGGCAGGGAGAGTCCACTGCTCTTCTGAGAGCTTTTCTAGTTACAATTTCCAGCATTTTAAAACATGACTTTGGCAAATGTTTCACTCAACACTTATTTTGGTTTGAACATAGCACGAGATGTTAAAGGAGCCTTTTGCAAAAGCAAGGCTCGGCAACTCAGCTTTTATAAGGCCAGCAGGTCTGATGCTTCCCAGTCCACACTTGTAGGTCCCACATCCCCAAAACCAAATTAAAACCAACTGCCAGCTCTGCTCTTAGACATTCAGAAATGATTAAGTTGTTCTCCCTGTCCAAGTGTTAAAATCCCAGCCAAGCAACACAAGCTGACAGCTCACGCAGGGGCTCCGTGCTGCCGGGGTGCCCCGTTCCCTGGCTCCTCTCCTCACGGAGCAGCTGGATCCAGCACCACCTGCCACCCCCAAACCAACCCCCGAGTGCCCACAGCAACG